GAGGGAAATCGGGTTGCAATATATATGTCAATTGGCTACTTCGACGAATTCTGACTAGTTTGACGACAACCGTTCAATCGTATATATACTTTGACGACTGTCGTTAAATTAACCGTAACGATAAAAAGGATATAGTTTCACAATCGACACTATATAAATTGACAATATTATAAGTAGTACACTGACGATTTTGACGACAGTAAACAAATAATATAAATTTACCTTATATCTTGACGAGAATTGACATAATTATTCTATATAATTTTAGCCAAAAATGATTCGGATTTTGATATAGTTCCGGAGTCGGCGCGCAACGAAAATACTTAACAAAAATTCATAAAATCATCTTAAACAAAACATTAAAAACGAGAGAAAAGAAGACTAAAATCATTTTGTAGTGTTTTTCTATTATTTTTCTATTATTTATGATTGCTGAGATATATATCATAAGTGTTTAATGAAAATAAAAGTCGCGCGGCGCCCGATTCGTTGAGATTTTGCACGCTTTCTTGTTTTAATAAACGGAAACAAATAATTGCCAATAATCAAAGTGAGCAATTCTAATAGAGTAGAGCACGATTTAAACAGTGCTTTTTGAATCATCTTTCTGTTTTTTACGAGTACCGAGATATAAACGTTTAATGAAAGTCAGAAAACATTTGGCGCCCGATTTTTACGGCACGCGCGCGCTTTATTGCTTTAATAAACGAAAGTATATAATAATTGCGAGTAATATAATTGAGTAATACCAATACGGCAAAGTATAAAGTCTTTTTTTAATCATCTTTTTATCATTTACGGTTGCCGAGATATAAGCGTTTTATGAAAGTCAGACATCATTTCGCGCCCGATTTTTACGGCACGCGCGCGCTTTATCATGTTAAATAAACGGAAGGACGTATAATTGTTAGTAAGAAAATTGAGATATTCCAATAGCGCAGAGTATGAACTAAACAGTCCTTTTTGAATCATTTCTATATCTTGGGTGGTTGCCCAGATATTTGCGATAAACGATAGGGAAGACTTTTTTCTCGCACCAATAGCTGTACATTATTGATCTACTTTCTAAATTGGCTTTGACCTAAATCGCCGAGTCCGGGAATGTCGGCGCGCGCCGCGACATGCATGGCAACGTCTATCGTAAAATTCATAAATATTTCGATGTTTTTGCTAACTGATTTTTAAAGGTTTATTTTAAGTAGCGAGTTGCCTGCTTCTAAAGCAGCGTCGTTTACGCTGTCACAGCTTCCTCCCTAATTATGAGATGTATTATTAATGATATTGCAATCACATTAGCGCTAATTACAATATTTTATGTCGTTTTTTAATAATGTTTATATCTGTGGTTGCTGAGATATATATAAGAATTTATTAATCGTTGCCTATAGCATTATGTAACGATATTCTGAAACTTTTTATCGTTTAATCTTGTTCGAGAAAATATGCCTCACATTAAAGATTAAAGGATAAATAACAATAATAAAACGAACGTATTTCTTGAGATTTTTTTAGTGTCATTTGTCGTATTTTTGGCGCGTCGACTTTCTCGTCGAACGACTTTTACTTTCATTAAATACTTATGATATATATCTCAGCAATCATAAATGATAGAAAAATAATAGAAAAACACTACAAAATGATTTTAGCCTTTTTCTCTCTCGTTTTTAATGTTTCTTTTTAAGATGATTTCATGCATTTTTGTTAACCCTATTCACTCCAACGTTTTTTTCGCCCCAATAATCCTCCAACCATGCACTTTCGAGTCCCACGTGTTTTTTATAATGTTAATAGCTTTGAAAAATTCCCCAAAAATTATTATAATATCTTTGTACCTTCAACTAAAAATCAATGTAAAGAACATTTGGAAATCATTTATTTAAATATTTTTTTACAGCAATTATATGTTGACAAACACACGTTACGACTCGTTTTACTTAAAAAATCATAACTCATGAACAAATTGACGAAGCTTAATGAACCAAAACGCAAATTAAAGCTAAAAGTAGTGCAAGTGAGAAAAAAAATATGAGATAATTATTAATTAAATAGGAATACTTAATTTCGTCGCCGCAAATTTGGTAATTTTTAAATGGTACAGAAGGACTTTAAGGACTTAAAGAATGCTAGAAAAAAAGTTTCTGAATAAAAAAAGGCGAATTTAAAGTGTGACAGATATTTTTTATGTAAAAAAATTAATTTTTTTTTTATAATCGTAGCTCCTCCCCACCTCTTCCACCTGTCTCTGAGCCATAATAGACCTCTGTGGAATGTTAAATTTTTTTTTAACGACAAAAATATTTTAAATACGGTTAAATTATACACAAAAATACATTTTTATCGAAAAAAATGCTCATTTACCTTTCACACAACACTGACGTAATCCTCCAACCATGCACTTTCGTGTCCCACCGAGATTTTGATTGTTCCCCGTTTCGAGAGTAAATGAGTTAGGACTTTGAAATTTTTACCTGAGGTTCCCTGCCACAATAACTTTTTTCCGGCGTGGAGGGGATTCTCTCACGATCATTTGTTTTCCGGAACAAACGACTGTTAGAAATTCGTGGGACACGAAAGGCATGGTTGGAGCGAATAGGGTTTCGTTGCGCGCCGACTCCGGAACTATATTAAAATCCGAGCCATTTTTGGTTAAAATTATATCGAATAAATATATGTTCTCGTCAAGATATAAGGTAAATTTATAGTATTTGTTCACTCGTCAAAATCGCCATTGTACTGGTATCGCATACTGTTAGTGTAGCCTTTTCATTAATTATTATTAGTTTACTTTGCTGACGTCGTCAAAGCATATGATAGAACGATAAAAGATAAAACTTTGACGACGGTCGTCAACAGCCAGAAGTCGTCGAAGTAATAAATGTTTGCAGAAAATCGTCGTCAATGTAGTTGATTCAATTTGCATTGGATAACCATCACGTTGTATACATATATTTTTCCGCTTAAACAAAATTAAAGTCAAGTAATGCTTTATCTTCTTTATTCTTCTATATTAAAAAATATAATATTAAAGTTTTTATTTTGTAACATTCTGCAATTAGGTTTAAATGTTTGTAATATGTAGATAATAAAATAATTCAAATGACAAATATAATAAATATGCATGCGAGTTACTTATACGACGGTTGCTTCGTTGTCAAATATGAATCAGAGAATACATATCTATATGTATAATATGTCAATCCGTAATTATATAAGTTTATTATATTACTAGAAATATAATCGTATCCTTTTATATTTAGCAAAATTTTTAATTTGCATTTGATTATAAAATATATGTGTCTCAAATTAATAACATAAGATTAAAAGAATTAAAAGCAGACGTGAGATATAATGGAGATGTATAAAATGTGTAACCATTGACCGAAAATATAAATGTTAATTAATAAATTATGTAACATATTGCCAGATAGTCACCGTGTCTCTATTTAGCTGAATTGCTTTACCATCCATGTTTTGCTGTCTTTATTACGATACATTGCAGACAATCTCACAAGGAACCGTGCAACTTCACTTCACTGTGCTAATTATACTTCGCTATTGCTGTACTGGATTTAATTATTACTAGACAATTACCGTTAGATCGTAATAGTGCGTGTAGTGTCTGAAAGTGTTTGTAAATTCGCGGTAGCATTGTGTTCGATGCATATGATTAATTAAGCAGTCTTAGTCTTCCTCGTCCTTATATGGTGGGAAATGTAGTTAAAGGCAAGGCTGTCTAATCAATAAATGTTTGTAAAAATCGCTCCTTTATCCATTTTCCGGGTAGTAATTCATAGTACCTGAGATCCTCGGAAACTTTAATATTGCAAATTTTTCTTGGAAGTCATCTTTTTGACAGAATAACTGTAATGTAAATAAAATAATAATTCGAGAATTGTGTCTTATAGGCTTTGACATTTCCAAAAGCAATATAGCTTCCAAAAGCGAGCTTCAAAGTATGAACTTGAAATAATGTTCGACACATATGTGATTTATTAAAATATTAAATAATATTGCATAACTTATTAAAATTTAAATTTTGCGATATTAAAACTGAAGTTTTATTTACAGTATGTTTTTAATTATATAATGCAATCACTTAGCTGAACATTTAGTATAATTTATGAAATTGTAATTTTTTTATACAACACGATTATACACATTGAGATCCGTTGAGAATCAATGCATCCTGCTTTGAGGGTAGGGTGTATAGCCCTGCTTATATCGTATGCACCGCATGTACATCATCTGGCGCCTCACGATAGTGAGTTATTATAGCGTCTACTCACTGGCAAATTATCTTGGCAAACTTCGAGGGTGATTATATTACCTACGGTTTATACAATGCTAGCTTGAATTTCCGTCGTGTCTTAAACATGGAGGGAAAGGTAACGCTGGATAAAGTAATCGCCTTTCTGAGGGTATACTTGACATTCGCTTGCTGTTGGCCTCTTCCACCGAACGCGACGAAGCTCCAAAGACTCGTTCGCAGTGCCTTCCAGTGTTTTTGCCTCACGAACTCGATAGTACTCGCCATTGCGGCGGTATGGACACTCTACAAGCACAGCGATAATGTGCTTCTAGTGATGAAATTAGGATGCCAATTGAGCGCCATCGTGCAAGTTCCATTACAGCTGATACTCTTTACGATGCAAAACAAACGTTTGCAGGTAGGATTTTTATATTAAAGATTTTATATTAAATTGGTGAAAAAGCCATGCCTCTAATAAAAAATTTAACGAAATCTGTAGTATACATTTCTGTAATTATCTGTAATTATTCTAGCTGTAAACATATCTGTAGTACATATTTCTGCTCAGACTTGTAGAAACTGTTTGTATTTATGTAGGTATAAGATAAACTGTTAAACCAAACGTTTTATTTAACGATTATAAACTATTTGCTTTATAAAATAAGAATATTATTTAAACAGAAATATAGGTGTAAATATTTATAATTTTTTCTACGCTGTTTTTGGAAATTTTGCCGCATAATTATAATTATTACTATATAAAATTAGGACAATTCAAATCAAGACTAACATGAAATCTTTCATTAATAATTTTCGTATTTATAAAATAATGAAAGAATTTAATTAATATAAGCTTTGGCAATGCAGTTTATTATTTTGGAAATGGAGAGTTATTATCAGAGAGCGCAAGAATATGAAAAGGAAATTATTCAACAATATGTCGACAAATGCAAGTTATTTTATGGTATGTACAGCATCAGTTTTAACTATCTATTAAAACAAATTTTTTTAAATAATAAGTCTAATTACTGTAGGTATCATTCTTTGTTGGTTGGCAATGACAGGAATCAGCGTTATAATGACGCCTTTATTTTCGTCACAATCATTTCCAAGTGAGGCGGAGTACCCGTTCGACGTGCAACTTCAACCATTGAAAACTATCATTTACGCGCATCATATATTAATCGCTTATCAATGTGTGATACAAGTTAGCACTAATACCTTTCCTGCTCTCCTACTTTGGTTTGTAGCTGCCAGATTCGACATTTTGTCCGTTCGGTTTCGTACAACGACGAACATCAATGAACTGATAAAATATACGCGTGAACATAGTCTACTACTTAGGTACGTAATATATAGATTTGAAAAGAGAGAGAAAAAAAGGAAAAAATTAAATGTATAATAGTTATGAGACGTAATATAGAACAATTATGCTTTCTAAAAACAAATATTTATAGGTATGCAAGAGAAGTGACGCGTGCAATTCGTTACGTAGCATTATTATGCGTGACTTTTAGTACCGGCGCTGTAATATTCGGTTATCTTACTTTTATGAGTGTAAGTATATATAGTGTATAGTGCATTCGTGTATGAAAGTTCTTATATGTATATTCCGTGAAAAAAGTTTTACTTCATAAAATAATGCTGTATGATTTTCTCATTCGTTTATCCGCTTATGGACAGTGAATTGCTTGGAACTTACTGAAACATTTGTTTCTTGTATAATGCAATACACAGTACATTACATAGTATTATGCGTACATATCATATTATCTTTCCCCATATTTACACATAACAGCGTCAACCATGGTCAGTGAAATGGACGTTTCTTATGATAGCTTTTTGTGGCTTTGTGGAACTCTATATGTATGCCTGGCCAGCTGACAATGTAATGAGCATGGTTAGTTATTTGTATATAAAATAAAATGCATAATTACATGTGGCAGGGATGACAAAATTCCATTTTGTACTTTTTCTAATGTCTTTTTCAAAAATTGTTGTTAGAGTACCAATATAGCGTCTGCCGTCTACGAATCACTATGGTACAGTGACGATCTGATTATGCGGAAGGTTTTAGTACATATCATATTAAGAAGTCAACATCCGGTTACCGTTTCAGTTCCATGTGCATTACCAAACTTGTCTATGAACTATTATGCATCGGTAAGAATTTGTATTATTTTACATTTTTATTATTGCTTTTTACTTCTTAGATTCTTCTTTTAAATTCATTTTTTTTTCTTAGATTTAATAACTATTTTGTATTTAAAAATTTATTATTTTCTTAGTATATCTCGACAGTTTTCTCATACATGGCATTTGTGCGTATCATGATGGGTCAGGAGTAGAAAAACGATCAAATTTTAGGTAAAAATCTACAAATTATATATTTTTGAAATGTCTTCTAGTAGAACTGCAATGATGATGTAATAAAAACGTGTGTATTTATTAGTAAGAATATCCCATAGATATCCATATGGAAAGATCTTATATACACTGGGCAACAAAATTATCGCAACAAAAATTTTCGTCAAAAATTTGCCTAACTTCAAATAAGCACAACTCCGCGAAAAATTGTCATATCTGAAAGTTTTTTTTTTATTTTAAAGGGTGAAGTCTGTACTTTAAGGAACCATAGTCAGATTTT